CTAAAATATTTTTTTTAAATAAAATAAATTAAATAGAAATATTATGTGTATTTTTGTATGTGGAAACATGGCTTGCCCACTAAAAAATATAAAGAAGTGTGGTCTGCAGTTCTTTTTTTTTTAATTTTTTTTATTTGTGAAAAAAACTTTAGTGTAAACAATAAAACACTCACAGTGCAAGGCTAGTTCACCAACATGTCTATTCTCTTGCCTGAGTGTGAAAGTACATGATTTAGTGACTACCTCTTATATTTTTAAATTTTAGATTTTTTTTTATTTGGAAGGTTCTTCTATAAAAATAGAACAGATAGATATATATGTGTGTGTTCAGTCAAAATGTGGTTGATTTTTTTCAGAAACTATAGATGTATTTATGAGAGTTTCCCCTAGCTCGTCAGTTGCTCTAATGCATCTCAAAAATTATGAGAGTTGTACATTTACGATGCTGAAAATATACGAAAAAAATATACGAATGGGAATAATTTTAGCCCGCTAGAGGGCGTAGTAACAATGTTAGAGATTGTCATCAGGGAAATGAAATTTCTGAACATGACGTATGATCATTTACTAAGGGACGGACCATTTGATATCCTGGAGGGGCAGGAGGATTTTGTGAAAAAAAATTCTATGACAATGCTTGAAAAAAAAATCTACACTATATGTATGTGAAAAGTCAAGACAACTTAAGACTGGACAAAAAATATTTTTTTTAAAAGAATGATTTTTATTGATCCTTTTTCTCAACAATTTCATCAACTATGTTGTTTAGCAGTTCTTTCACAATTATGACTGTCTGCTGTATTTCTGTATAAACTGTCTCTAACAATTTATATTGTAGTATCGATGGGGTGGTGGATTGACGAACATCTCACCGACTGTGGACAGTATATTGCATTAGCTAACTAAATACTTAACCGATGTATTATTCCGTGTTAAAATATTTCAAGTGTGATCCCGATAGAAGTAAACACAGAAACAATATTGGAATACGAAACTGAATACGAAGAAAGCCTATGTCGATACAGCACTCAAATTTATCCGTAATTGGATTATTCACTAGTGTGATGGTGCTGTTTCGGGTTCTATGTTGAACCCTTCATCAGTCGGAACAGTACTTGACCGAATTGTTCGATTTATTTAGCTTTAAGAATGTTCGACGTTATTCTTTCATTATACAATTTAGTTATAATGGAAAGTAATTCTTCGTCGTTTGGTGTGTCGTTTTTCACGCGTTTGTCAGTACGTAGAGTAGAACGTGTAAGTTTATCTTTCGAGTTAGTATTTCTACGAAATGCAATGAGGAGAGAATTTGGAAAAATGTTGCGGAGTAACTGATCATACCGAATTAAGTCTCAGTTTTTTAATAGGGCTCTTTTGAGTTTAGCACCTTGTCTATAAGGGTTGAATGTAGTTGTGAATATCAAATATTGAAACGTTTCCGTTGTCTTGGTGTGCGTTTTCACGTCTGATTTATGATTCAGATCATGGAAGCGTAGTCCTTTATATAGGTCAAGGTACGTGACTTGTGTCATGGAGTATTCAAATGTGAGCCGGTATTTGTTATGAAGCATATTAGCTTCCCGACAAATTTGTGTAATTCAGGTACGGTGCATTTGAATACTATGAAGATGTCATCTTAAAACGTTACCAAGTTTTAATATATCGAGCACCAAATAGTAAAATTCGATTTTTCAGTAGGTGTTTGGGTATAATATTCATTATTAAACTCGAATGCATTTCTTTTCAGAATGATTTCAAGGAGTTTAATTATATATTCCATAGGTAGTGGTTTCAAAGGACTATCATTGTGTTTGTAATTCGATTGTATTGCATTAGCCGCGGTTGCTCGGATCGCTTCTTCGTGAACAGTATTAGTATACATTGATACGACATCCATGGTTACTAGAACGTTATTTTCAGATACTTGTATTTTTTCAATTTTGTGATTAATTAATCTTTGATGTATGTTGCCTTTTAACGATTGGAATTAAGAGGTGGTCAATCAATTCTGATATTTTCTCTGTTGGACCAGAGCAACCACCGACTGATTATTGGTCTACCGAAGAATATACTGCCCTCTGGTGGTGGTTTGTGTACTTTAGGTCGTAAATATACGACACCTGGGCGTTTTAACTTTGTAATTATATTTATACGTGTCGTAATCGATTAATTCCCAACTGTACATTTCTGTAACGAGCTCATAGACCAAATTAGTTGTAACTATGGTATCGTTACCACTAATTTTAGTATAGTATTGCTCGTTGTTTAGTTGAAGAAGGCTTTCATATATATAGTCAGTTATATTCATGTTTGTAATGCCACGAACTTTGTCGAATGGTTTTATTACAATTGTGTTATCATGATGTAGTCTATTTATTGCTGCTCCTTCGGCAGAATCCATGTTTTTTTTTGTTTTTTTTTGACAAACTTAGTAATGAAAATAAAGTCATATCATTACTGAGTGATGAGAAAATGTCAATTCCTTTAGCACAAAATTTGAAAAAAGTGTTTTAATGTAAGACAGCAGCACCTCACAAACTAAGCCAGTAACACTTTACTTGTATACAATTTTTTTTCAGTATTTGAATTTGTAGTTTCAATTTTTCCCCCCTAATCTATGCTTTATTTTCTTAACTTTTCATGTAGTTATTTTTCTTTAACTAATATCTGATTTGTAACCATATCATCCCCTCTGGGGGATTTTATCTTTTATGTTGTAATAAATCAATAAAAAAACATTACAGGTTTAATGTATTCTATTCATTATTCTATTTTTGTTGCAATTGTGATATCAAATTTGATTTCTTCTGGTGTTTACCCATAATTCATTGCAACACCACAAGTTCAAACAGAGTAACACCCCTTAGGTCAAGGTTCAGCAGCAGGTAATGAACCCCTATTTGCCTATTTACCGTAAAATCTGTATTGAAAGTCACATTTCTAATAGAAGTCGTACCCATTCTTTTTGAACAACTGAGAACCAAAAATTCACCATTTCTCACATGTTTAGATGCTCTAATAGAAGCCGCATCCCTTCCATTTCAATGTATAATTTTAATAAAAGCAGCGGCTTCGAATACAGATTTTACAGTAGTCAATTAACTAGTATTAACCAGTAAAAAAGACCAGCAGTGATCAAAAACAAGGGAATATTCTTTTTTTGAAAAAGTACCGATAACTCACTTAGAACCTAAATCTGACAGCAAGATGCTAATTTCCTAAAGTTTTAATTTAGAATTAAATTTAAACATTATGGACCAATAAATTTGCTTTACTTTTAGAAATTTTCTTTCAATATCCTTCATAGTCTTTACCTTGAAGTTCATATTGCGTTTTTGTAAATTAAATGCTGTGAATGCCCAGAGACAGATCAATTCTACTTGTGTAGCATATTAACATGAGCATGTCAGAGCTTCTTATTTGATTGAAATAGAGACTACACCAACCCCTCCTGTCATCTTGGTCTAAAATTGTGATCCAAACAATCAAATACTTTTTCTCTCCACTCAATATATGAAGACAGAGCAATACATACAAGTAATTTAGATACACACAGGGGTAAAAGATATATTTATTCTATCACAATGAAAAATACAGCATTGGGGACTGAGCTGTCCCTATGAAGACAATCAGGAAAGTGAAGCTCAATGAAATATTTCTCTCATCGATTTATGTGAATATTGTTGGTCAATGTCTTCAATATAAACCTCTCATTGTAACATTCAATGTTTTCCATATCGATACAATTTCTGAAAGAACATTAGATTATAATAATTTTCTGTCATCTATGAGTTCATATTCAGTGACTGTAGAAATCTACTTGACTGTGCAAGTTTATAGTTCCATGAACAAATCCTGTTTACAGTTAACAAAGATAGTAATACTATAACAGAAAATACTAGATATCCTTTCATATACAGTGTTTTTAAGTCAACCATTCACAGGCAAACTATACTGTAAACTATATGTCACATTGAGTAAGTGAATTCTGTGTTCCACAGCAGGAATATTTCATTTTGATTGTCTCTAGTTTTCAGAATAGTCTTTCAATACATCACCCATATGATCATTATGTTTCTTGAATTTCATTCCTTTTCTGCTTGGTTTTCTTCTCTTTTGTACCTGTATCTAAAATGATAAAATCAGAATGGAGGCATTTATTACAAACAATCAGAACACTGTCAGAGCATGCAATAGTTATTACTGAAATCATTCTAGTACAAACCCCTCTCCAGTAACACTGAACGGCCCATGTTTATACCAAGGCTCTGCTATCCCACAGATTGCCCTAGTGCATCATGAGAAATTTAATTTGATTAGCCCACAGACTCACTCATCATTTGCTATTTACCGGTATACAAACTTTCCCTGGCTTCTAGCATACATGACCAATATCCAGCACCCGAATGGCAGAAATGCTTGATTTTGATGAATTTTAAGCATAAAAATGACTGGCATTTGGCCAACTGGAATCAGATCATGAAACAAATACACATGCATATGTATCCAAAGAGGTGGGCACGCATGGATTGACATGAACGAACACATGCACGGATGTCAATCTATAAGTCCTGTTTTCGAACTGTGACTGAACATGACTTATAATCAATGGATTGATGGATACAAACCAATTAAAAAAGTGTGCATAAAGATCCTGAAAAAATGCAACAACTAGGACAAATGTTTTCTCCCTCATATACCTTGACCTTCATCTACGATGACGCAGACAATGCAATAAAAAACTATTTTGTGCCATATCTTATACATGTACATGTATGGGAATACAATATAATGAACATATAAATCACAAACTGCTGACTTAGGTGGCTGGATGCATGCATAACTATGCATATTTAGGATAAATAATCACCTTGCATATAATTTCCTGCTACATATGCTGATGCAACTAAATACACCATGGGCCTGTCATGTAGAATTTTTAAAGTGGCATTCAGCCTTCGTAATGTTGTTAGAACTCATTATATTGAGTCTATTGAGGTATTTGGGCTTGTGAAAATGCACAGATAGTGAGAAAACAGTCAGTAACCAACGGAATCACTAGCGGTATATAACTAACCGACGCCTCTCGATCGTTACCGATTCAACCCGCGTCCATCCAGTGCTTTGTTATGAGAGTCAGTTCCCATCAGCTTAGGGAGTTCACAATAGCAACTCAATAAGCTAACAGACTCTGTCGCGTTGAGCGCTTTTACGAAATGTCAACCACTGTATATGTAACACAGTATGACTATGTGTTCAAGAACAAACTGTTCATGCTTTACAGGCTTGCTTACTTTTTTGCCACCTATATCCTGCATTGATGTGATTCCTTGTTTCTTTAAATATTCTTCTATTTTTCCTTCATCTAGGGAGTCAACTGCTATACTTCTCCAAAGTTTCTGAAAATCTAAGAATATTGGCAAACGTATATAGTATAGGATTGAAGGGGGGTGGTTGTTGCATGCATGATTTTAATGTAAACAAACAATTCATTTTACATGCGTTGGAAATGTTGCTATGAGATCCATTTGGAACAAGACGCAGGGACCACCACCCTTTAATGTGGCTAATTAGAACAAAATTTTAGAATTTTAAAAGCATATTTATTCTTGATATTTTGCTAAGTGAAAGGTTTTATATCAAACGAAAGACAAAAAGCAAATAAAAACGGCAGCACACACATTTTGTGATTGCCTTATACCCCGAAACTCCACTATGTTAGCCATTTTGGATTGTAAAATATGCAAAATGTATACAAGGCTTGTAATTCAAAAACAGTCATTTAACATTGGTTCCCATGTGGAAAATATCATACGGTGACATATAGTGAAAAAATAGTATGTTGTTATAAAATGGGTAATTCTGATTATCTCAAACTATTAAGAGTTTCTGGGAAATACTATTTATTTTCCATGAAATAATGCTTTTACATGGATTCCTATGGCAATTGTTCCAAAAATTTCCATTTTTGTCAAACAATTTCCCCTAAAACCATGATTTGTACAGGGTAAAAACACCCAAAAAACTAAGGCATCATAAAACATTTACCCTATTAACCTTAATACTAGTTCAATGTACACCTGTGCACCTAGATTTTAGTAGTTTGAGATGAAATACAATATTGCTACATTGTATACAAAATATATAAATAAGCAATTTCCTCACCTTCATCCACTGTAAACTGGCAGGACTTGTCATTATAAAATAAAATTTTCTTTTTGTCTACAGGTCTTACAACGATGATGATTTGATCTCCTAATATCTACACAGTGAAGACATAAAATGCATTGTTATAGAATATCTACAAATTATTTCCCTGCTATGCAACAAAGCCCTAGAAAAACACAAATTGAAAAGACTTAACCTTTTCTTCACAAGACTTCTCGTCCAAATTGTTCTGCACTCTTTTCTTAGATTTTTCAATATTTCTGGAAATAAACCCTAATTTTGGAGCCAAGAAAAAAATTTGAATTTTCAGTTTTTTTACTCAAAAACTTTTGGCTTTTGTTGTCACATTCTTCTGAAGGAAAGTGCAGACTATAAACAGGACTATTTTGTGAATTTGAAAAGAGAGAACTGGTGGCACAGGTTGGCACATTATGACACCAGTTGTCTATATTTTTGAAATCTGGCAACAAGTGTGTGTTTGACAACACATTTTGTGTACTACCTGGTAGTTCACTATCTACTGTGTTTACATGTCAAGTTTTATCACATGTATCATGTAGTAGCATTGACATAAACCATGTAATATTTTTATATATATATACATTTTGTATTATATTTTATATCACAAACTCATTCTCTCCACTGAACAGCCACTACTGCTTGCCAATTTAATGTTAAGATGTATGAATACTGCTGATAGAACTAGCCTACAATTTAGTTCAAATGTTGCCAATGTGTCTCCATATATAGCAGCCGTTCAAGGACTGTGTTGCTGTATGCAAATAACGCTTAGGACGTGCACAGAAATAATACCCCCAGTAATTCTGATGTCAGTTTCTGCTGGTGAAACAGCCCGAAATGCGTACGTGTGAATGTCAGGATATTTATTAAACTTGTTTAAGTCATTTTCATTTGTAAACAGCAAATGCACAGCAGTGATAACATCATTCTTTTCCCTATACGCTGGTGAATGGCTGAGTATTGCAAAACAGTCACTTTGTACGTGCACGAAACATAAGTAAGTGTGCCCTCCTATGGCATGATTGACATCACAAATTATAATCTTTTCAGGATTATCTCCTTGTGAGAGCATACCATCTTCACAATATGTACTTGCTCTATTAGAAGCATTAGCATATACAGATCAGATGTACAACAGTTTAAACACCAAACTGCTCTATATACTGTAAAATGACTAATTTTCACTGGGTTTAAATTTCACTGATTTAGCATTTCAGGCATATTCAGTGGTTTTAAATTCATGGTGTTATCATTTGGATAATGTGTTCTATGCTCAATTACATATTCACTGGGTTTTAATTTAGTGCATTTTTCAGTCAGCGAAATAATCAAAATTAAAACCCAGTGATTAATTAATACTTTCACAGTAATAAGCATTTTAAGTATCCCCTCAGATGCTTGTAGATTAGCTTCTAGTGAGGATAGCATTTTTCGTCTATTTTTGTTTTTCTTCCACATGGTTATTCTATAGACATACAAACCTTAACAGCCTTTTCTGCCATTGGTAGGCTCTCCTGTATATCTTCTAATAGTATACCTCCTAGTCCTTTCTGATCGTGTCTATCAAGTAATCGTAATAAATCTTTTCGACCTCGCAGATTGTACTTTGGTTTGAAAGAATATTTGTTACTCTCCGAGACTTGTATTTTTGGGTTGTTGCACAAAGCCTGCATTAAAATTATTAATAAAAATAAATTGTAGTGTCGGGATGTTTATAAGCTGCATTTTTTATAATTTTTTTTCATATTTTTAATCCATGGAATACTGAACAAAAATTATGTTTTATGTAAGGTGTACATTTGTCATCATAGTGTGTAGATAACAAATTTGGTTGAACAACAATTTTTCCAACTGCCTATCTAGGTTTTGTTTGTACCTGGTATATGTGTGAGATGGACATCCCATTGGTTTACCCACCATGTTGTGTTTATGTGCTTAATTTTTAGCAATGTCTTAAAACCTCACCTCTGTGATAAGCCAGTGTTTCTGTTTAAGACCAACATCAAGTTGGTTTGTTTCATCTAGTATTTCGTCTATTGTCAGGGCGTATGTATCACCACGCTGATGTCGCACCTAGTATGGTAAAACGGTAATTAGCAGCAAAGTTCAAGTTAGCATACACGAGAAAAACTAAACAAATAGTGTAATTGTTCTATCTGTAATGTATGCACTTACATAAAAAACAAAGGTGTGGCAAAATAAAAATGGTCAAAATAAGTTGTATTTTAATGAACCCGTATACAATAACTATGTTTTTTTGGGGGTTAAAATATTGGAATAATAATAAACATTATTATAAATCTGTCACCGTAATGCCATAATTTATAGCATGCCATAATTTTGCGTTATTTTACGGGGTATTTTCATCCTACCTAAGGAAATGTGAATACCAAATATGGAATGATTACGCGCGTAAGAGTCCTCTGATAACAAGTCATTGTTAATGACACAGTCCTCGTCCAAAATTTTGTGATCTGACATATCAATTTGATGCTGATTAAGTCATTGAGATTAGATTGAAACCATTAATAGGAGAGGGATTTGTAAAAAATTATGATTTAGTATTTTTACACGAGAATTGGACACTGGGCAGTCATATTGAATCAAAAATAATGTTGATGTATCTATTGGTATACTGTATTCATGGGAAAGTAGGCATGGATATCATGAAAAACAAAATGGCCACCAGTCAGTCATATTAGGTTGAATCACAGAAAAAATATGACATGCAACTATAACCCAATATGTATGATCATCATACCAACTTTGATCCAAATTGGCCTAGTCATCTCTGAGAAACAGCTCCGGACAAGTAAAAATGACGATTTATAGTGCTTTTACATAAAAATTGGGCGTCAGCCAGCCATATTGAATCGAATCACAAAAATAATGTTGGTGCGCATGTATCCCTTGGTATACTATCTTTGTACAAAATTTAAAGAGAAACATTCATTGCATTCATGAGAAAGTAGCATGGGTACCATGAAAAACAAAATGGCCAGTCAGCCATATTTGTTCGAATCACGAAAAAAATATGACGTGCACCTATAACCCAATATGTATGATCAACATATCAACTTTGATCTAAATTGGCCTAGTCATCTCTGAGAAACAGCTCCGGACATGTTTAGGTATCAGAAATAGCAAATTTTACATCCAAAATGGCCGCCAGTCGGCCATTTTTGCTCCGATCATAGAGTAACTTGACGCGCATTGTGTATTGTCTTAATGTAAAGTTTGAATGAAATTCGTCAATGGGTGTCCGAGATATAGCTCCGGACGTACGTACGGAGGGAGGGAGGGACAGACGGAACGAACCAAAATTAATAGTCCCCGTTTTCGGACTTCGTCCGAATGGGGACTAATAAAAACAAACATGGCTGCCACCCGGGTTTGACCGGACTCCACACAAAGAAGTTTGCTGATTCTGTTCTAAACTTTTTTGGATTTCGCGGCATTCCCATGATGTATCCTTGGAAGGAAAAGATGTATAATAATAAGGTTATTACTTAGACAGTACACTGTCGCAATGACCTCAGCTGCGCATCGGTCAATACTCCCACTGAACTGTC